GGGTGACTAGCACCCATCTTGCGACATTGTTGAATAAATAACTGAATACTGAAGAGATAGGGAAGGGCAACCTAAAGAGAGGAGGAGAGCTTGGGTAATGATAGAGGCTTAAAAGCTCAGATGTAGCTATGGCGGTGAATGACATAATTCCAGCACACTAGGAGGCTAAAGTAGGAGGATGGCAAGTTAAAGCCCATCATGGGTAACTAGCAACTTAGGGACATCCTGTCTCAAAGCAAAAAATGAGGTTGAGGTATAGCTCAGTGCAAAAGCCCTAGCTAGGTTCAATTTCCAGCACTGTAAAAACAACAAAACAAACACAAAAACTATCCTTATGAACAACTACAGACTGCCCAGTATAACTAGGCTATAGGCCAGGTTACATGACCTCAAAGAGCAATGGAGAATAAACCTGAGACTTGGATTCAAGGGTGAAAAAACAAAATTTCACCCTCTAGTGATGACAGTCTGGTCATCAGAAAACAGAGGAGGGATTTGATCAGGACTTTGCTTTAAAACTTATCTTGGGAAACTATGTGAGCTAGAAGGCTCAGAATCCAGTTTGGCGTGGTTTTTTTTTTTCATAGTTTAAAGAAGAAAGAATAAGACAGACTCAGAGCAGTGGCAGAGGGACTCCAAAGAAAGAGATGGACAGCACAGAATCTAAGCAACTTGTTGGTTGACTATCTGTGAGATGTGTTAGCTGAAACAGGCACTGGGCCCCTAACTAAGTCATGACAGACATCCGTTCATTTCCAACGGAACATTTCCTGTGCAAGATCACAGCACAGACAATAGATCAAAAACAAACAGATTCCAGCCCATTTTCTAACAAGGCTCAGAGTCTAGTAGAAGAGCGGTGCACATAAATAATATTGATACATTGCAGAACAGAACAGAATGGATTCAAGACATTGCATGAGTTTTACTCCAGGATATGTTTGAATTCAAGGAATATCCAAACCCAAGTAACACTAACTCATGGTGTTACAGGTTACATAAAACCACCAGGATCATTCATTCTATCATTCATTGGAGAACATGCTGTATTGAAAACCTGTATCAGGCACTGTTCTAAACATGGGAAGAAAATAGACAAAAACTACCCTCATGAAATTGTATTCTAGTGGACAAGAACAAGCAATGTAAATAATTAACTGTAATATAAGGAGTGTAAGGCAGCGGTAAGTGCCAGGCAGAGACAGGAAAGGAAGGGCATCAGAACAGCCTGCGGTGGGGGCTGCAGAGTTGGATTCTGGAAGACCAGGCAAGCCTTCCGGTGAAATTTCATTGATGTCAGGCCTGAGCTGCTGTTCCCACAGCTGTACTCCGACTCCAGCCACTTGCTCAGTTTATTTCATTTCCTGACACCTTCCTCACTGTGAACACTTTGGTCTTGCTTCATTGGATTGGAACTCGACTCTTCCCAAAGCTGTCCTTTCTCTTTATGGAAGAGAATGTATTAAGTCCTTTTAGTAGTCTGTAGACAGGGGCAGTGATAAATCAGGACTAAGGGAGCACTTGGTATTTTTACACACTTGATATATACACAAATACCACAGTGAAGAGTCATCCTGCTCTTTCTGCCTCTCAGAAAACATCAGGATAGGCAGAAGAGGACATTCGTGGGCTGCTTTCTTACTCACAGTCCCTTTGGTGTTTACACCCAACCTCCACTCCAGGAAGGTTTTGGCCCTGGGTCCTTGCACTTCCTGTGGGAAGATCTGGTTGATTAGTCCTTCCTTCACAGCATCCATTGAGCCTGCCTGGTGAGCAGAGCCCTGTGCTTACTCTGCAAAGGGGAACATAGAGATGCTCAAGGGAAGGTGCTGCTCAGCATGGACTAGGTAGAATTCCCCTTGTCCCTAGAGCCACAGGGGTGTCTCAATACCTAAATCACAGCCTGTCCTTGTCCACCCTTTTTCTTTCCTCCCCCTACTTGGCTTTAAATTCTTTTGGCTTCTATGAGGCCACGTTTTCCTTGGGGGTTTTTTTTGGTTTTTTTTTTTTTTTTTTTTTTTTTTTTGGTTCATTTCGTTTTGTTTTTGTTTTTGGTACTGGGGATCGAGCTCACGACCTCCCTGCTTGCCAGGCAGGTGCTCATGCCACTGGTTTCGCTGCTTTATCTCTGAATTAATTGGCTGCTGTTTATAGATTTTTCACTATATCTGTCTCCTCTTCCTCTTCTAAAGCCAGTCTACAAATATTGGCAGACATTTGGGTCCTGAGCCCTCGTCTCAAGCCTCCTTCTCTTGTCAGGTGATAAGATCACACTCCGTGGCTTTAAATATTATGTACACATGGATCAGATGTACTTTCTATTGACTTGCACAATTGAAGGTGTTGCTGCTTATGCGATATTGCCATTCTAGTGTCCATTAGACATTATAAACCTAACATGACCAACAAACAAGTACTTGATTTTTATGAAATCTCAATCCTAATCCTTGTTTCAATCTCAGCAAATAACACCTGACATCTGGCTGGATGCTCGGGCCCCAAAACAAGGAGCCACTTTTTATTCTCAGCATTAGAGACTGAACCCAGGCCCTAATGCATGCTGGCAAGTACTCTGTCACTGAGCTGCATCCCCAGCCCCACGGAGTCACTCTTGATGTCTTCTTTTTATCATAACCTACTTGTCTCTACTTTCTACATTCCCACATACTTACGGCCAAATATGACTACTACTCAACAGTGTCTACTTCAAATCCACCTGTTTCTTACCTGAATTTCTACTTTTCCCATTTTTATCCTCTAAAGTCCACTCTCCATTTAGCATCCAGAGAAATGCTGTGAAGTGTGTGTCTGTTTTAGGGCTGAATAATGACTTTTATGGGCACTTGGCACTCTTTGCTTTCCTAGGCCCCTCCTATCATTAGTAGTATTAAGAATTATATCTTGAGACTGTATTGTATAAAGATATAAACATTACATATTAAAACATTTTATTGGAAGTGAAAATTCAGTTTGTTCTTATTTTAAAAGAAATTCAAATATTTTGAGATCACTAAAATTATTGTGGGCTCTAGGCACTGTGCCTACTGTAGTACTGTACCACATCGATAAATTGGTCCTGATTAGACCCCACCAGATTCCCTCCTGATTCTCTGACCACATCTCCTGGCAAGTAGAAGAAATTCCAAAGGCCTTGCCAGGAATCTTAACTGCTCTACGAAATGGCCAGAATCTCTCTCTTGCTTTCTTTCTTTCTTCCTTGTTCACTTTGCTCTGGTCATGCTAGATCCATCTGTCCCTTGAGCTGTCCAAATTTCATCCTGACAAGGCTCCTTAACTTTAGTTTGCTGAGCCTGGGGTAGCAAGCCTGTGAGTTTCCCATGGGTTATGCAGTTATGGAAGAGGATGACTGGATTTGAAGCATTCTCCTGGCTCTCCACTCAGGAGGGCTGTCTTCTGGTTAAGGATGCCCCCAGCAGGAGGCAGAAGGTTATATTACCACAGAAAAGGAGGGTAGGAGAGCTGGTACCATCTAAAAAGCAGCCTATACCAACAAGAGGACACAACCATGGAAATCAGGTCAAGACGCCCATCCTTTCTCTCTTCCTCTGACCTGTCCCAGCCCACTGGAGGAAATGAGGACCATAAAAGGGAAGATCTTCAAATCAGACAAAAAATTGAAGTTTTAAATTAACACTCATTGAGCTTTGTCAAAAAGAAGCAGGTGATGATGGCATCAGACTTTATAACTCCAAGATTATCACCATCCCACACCAGTGTGCTGTCTCAGCATTCAGCCTTATTTATTCTTGTCCAAAAGCTTATTTTCTCCTCTGGAGAAATGCCAGACTAAAAACAAATGTGTTCTGCATCTGCTAGAAATGGCCCCATGTTTCCCCTCTAGGTATTCTAGACTCCATCAAGAGGATTTTTAAATGCCCTTCCTCTATTTCAGGATCTTGGAATGCTGATCCAGGCAAAGAAGACATGCAGCAGGAACCAAGAAGCCCAGAGTCAAGAGACACAGGGAGTTGCTCTGTGGTCAGTCAGTCTGCATTCTGTAGAATGCTTCGAAGGTGACCAAATGTTTGTCCAGATACACCTCGTTTGTGCCTACTGTCCCAGCCTTATTATTCATTGTCTTAAAACATTCTATTGTGGATGATGAATAGCAATTCTAACAAACACCCACAGAAAGCAATCAACAGAGGCAACTTCTAGACATCCTTGTTTATAACAAACACGAAGGAAAAATACAGATGCAAACAGCAACGGGACCCAGCAAAAGCAAGGAGGAGATTCAGTGCCAGTGTCATCTGGTGGCCTTCTTGGCTAAGCCTCTCCCCAGCTCGGGTTGAGGAAGCAAGGACTACTGGCGGAATTCTTCTGGACACCAGACAGCTGTCATTCACTCTTCCATGGGCAGACAGTAGGCCAGAGTAATTATTCCCCGGGAGGCTTATGCCTCCTTTAAGTTCCACGTTAAAGATTCCATGTAGGGTTATTGGAGAAAAATCACTACCTTAAATACGTCACCCAGGTGTCACCCTGGGTTTCGGCTCCCAGGCTGGAGGCAGCTGGAGATTCACAAAGAACAGGGAATGAGGAGCACAGTGTCAGCATTCTAATCCCTTTCTGACTTTTGTGCCATCGTCTAACTTTGTAAAGAAAGAATGCACACACCACTCTGCCTCTTACTGGCTCATGTTTCTTTACCTCTTAAGTGCTATTTTCTTAGTTTCTTTTATACCAGATTCTTCCTGAAATTCAAAGTTCAATGCAAAAACTGCCTCAAATTCTGCCACAACCTTCTGATTCTCACTGACAAGCGATTTTCAAGTTTACCCTTTACATTTTGCTTTGTGAATATTTCCGAATCCCACCTCTAGGATCTTTTAAAGTCCCATGGGCCACTGATACCTGATACCACTTGTGTTCATAATGCTTTTGCATCATCACCTTGCCCCCAGGTCTGTTACAGCAACCCCTAAAATGTAGTAGAAGGCTGCACTGCTCACAGGCATTACAGGAGAAAACAAGAGTTCTGCGGTCAAAGATGTTTATTGAAATACATATTTAAAAAATAAGAACAAGTCTCTTTACTATAGGATTTTCCAGAGTTTTTAATGTGCAAACAGGCATGTGAATCCCTGACAAAAACAGGGAATTCTGAGAAGCATCTCCCTCCTACCTGAGGACAGTATCCTTTTTATTTTTGATAGAAAGTCTGAAGGGACACTTGTGACATATCGTGAGAAACAACTTTTCCTATCCTTGCTAGGAATATACTTATGGTACACATATCCAGTACATGTAAAGTACCATTTATATTAATGAGTGCTTTCCCTCACAATTATGATAGTCTAATAACATGTTTTCTCCCATTACCACTGAAAAGATGGACATACTAAATTACTTTATAATTTTACAGATCTATGAATGATAGTAAGTGGATACTATTCGTTAGTATACTAGAGCTTCTTGTGAACTAAGCATTAATATTATTTTGTTTTTGTGTCACTAACTTTGTAAGATGAAAGTCAAGAAAGAAAGGAGTTTTGTAAAAGGAGCATCTATCAAAAAATCAGTTACACTTTTTTTTCATCAAGCAAAAGCAAACAGAAAACCCCAAATACTAGACACAGAAATGGAGACCTCTCTTCTTCTTCAGGCAAGATTCCTGTTAGATTCCAAAGCAAATTGGACTGCAACTCAGAAGATTCCTGGCATCTGCCTCTCTGTGCTATGCATTTCTTATGTGAACTGACGAAAGCAATGGTTGTACATGTCTTGAGTGCCTGATCAGGATTATCCTTTTTAAAAGCTAAAAAACTCAAGCCCCAGAAGAGTGTTTTAGTGATAGTCCTGTATTTGAATATCTTCACAGCCACAAAATAGGCTATTATTCAGAGTACAAAAACACAAAATTTTGCCTCATATTTCATTTGCTATTTTTTTCTGTACTTAAAAGTGCTTAGGCTGAGACTCAAAAGCATAGAATAAATGCAAGTCTTTTCTTTATATGCTATGATTATCATATGTATAAAACATTTATTGGAGTACATGATCCTCACCCATTTTATATTCTCCAAATTTTCATTTTTCACCGTTGTACCTGATTACATACATGCCTATAGCCTAAAGCATTCCAGAAAAACGTGCCTTTTAAAAGCTTGGGTAGAGAGAGACACACTGGTGCTTCTTAAAGCAACTTCCAAGCAGTACTATAAGATAAATATAACAAGAGAGAAAGTTTTGAAATCAAACAACTACACAACTCTCTGAAAGCACAGAGAAAACTATGCAGAATAATTTTGATTAGGCTGCATGACTGTGCCAGGCTTCAAACAAGTGGTTATTCTGTTGTGACATCTGCTGAGCAATGCATCCATTGTTCTCTGGAATTTAATTCATTTTAAATTACTCTATCCAAATGATAAAACATGAGATGTGCTACATTTCAGGGGTAAAATGCTGTTCTTATTTTTATTGTGCTCATAACTTAGCTAGGAAGCAATACAGCCTGTTCTAATTAAGTCTTGATTGCTGCCTTTTGAAAAACAACTAGCTCTAGAAATGTAAGTGAACTCTTATTAAATGAAAAAATTAGGATAAATGATCTTGTCTACTCTGGTGTGACTGTAAAGTTGGCAGAGATATGTGTAAAGACTTCCCAAAACGCAGAGCAACAGTCTTTGGAAGAGAAACTATTTTCAAAATTAAGAGCAGCTTTGGGGTGCTTTTATTGTGAGATATAGTTTGTGTATTACTATTAGCCAATAAATTACTGTTAAAGGACTATCACATAAATGCCTCCTAATCCAAAATACTACTATTGTCTAAGAAGTTTTGTGAAAATTTGTAAAAGTTATATGCGGTGGGAACACTATCATCTGAAAGCATTAATCAGACATTAAAAAATATCAAGATATAAACCTAAGAAATCACAAACATATGCACATAATAATTCATATTTCCTGTATGCCACTTATTTAATACAAACTTTTGAAATAAGCTCAGATGAAATGAAAATCAAAAATTCTCAAGAAAAGTGAAACATTAACTTAATTGCCAAATATTTCCTATTGCCCCAAACAACAGCATTTAAAAACTTCTATGCAAAAGTATGCTTTCAAACTGCTTAAGTGATATGATACACAAACCAGTTTTCAAATAATAAATTCAGTCATTTTGCATTTTGAGAAAGTAAAGGATATCATGACACATTACATAAACGCGTGTGCACGCGCACACAAGCCAGTGATAAAATTTGGCCTCTCCTACGATGAGTACATAAAGATCATTAAGTGCTCCTAGGAGGAGGAATGCTATGTCACCCCTCCCTACAATCCAGGTAGTTTCCTTTAATCCAATAGCAAATCTGGGCATATTTGAGAGGAGTGATTCTGACAGCCACATTGAAATCCTGTGGAGAACCATTCAAGTCCACCCACTGGTGCCCTGAAAAGATGCCAATAATTTTTCGCTCCCACTTCTGCTGCTGTCTCTTCCACATCCTCACATAGACCCCCGAGCCACTGGCCCCAGGCTGAGCATCACACTGCTGGTAAAGCAGGTCATAGGTCTCATCCTTGACATCACAGAAGCGATATACCAAGTTGCCTGGTCGATCATTGTCATAGCCTGAGAAGTGGATTCTGCCCCCTGGCAGCTGTTTAGCAGGAGGGCTCACCCCAATCTTCATGAACTTTCTCTTGTGGGGTTTTTTCAGTTCCAAGAGGGCATAGTCATAATCCATGCCAATATCATTGGCATTGCCCTTGATCCAACCCTTGGGCACATGGGTGCGTTTTACCCGGATCCATTGAAATTTCATCTTCTCTGGTGTGGCTGAGTTTGAAGTGTTAGTCTCTCGACCACTGTCCTTAAACTTGGGCTTCAGGAAGCCCACTCGAAGTTTCTGTGTTCCTTTCACATAGGTTTTCCCATCATGTATGCAGTGCGCAGCTGTAAGCACGTGTTTCTCTGCCACCAGAGTTCCAGTGCAGCCTGTAGATAACTTCACTGATGTTGAGAAAGGGTAGTTGAGCAGGAAGTCCTTCCCAAAAATGCTGAACCTGCTGTCATAGCCATAAATCTGTCGCTTCCTCCGAGATGTTCTTGACGACACTGAGTCTTGGTGTTGAGTCCCATGTCTACCATTGCTGAGGATGTAAATGCCCACTTGAGTCTCTGTGCGGCTGCCATTGGCATAGAGTGTCTCATAAGACAGGTATTGCTTGGCCTCTTCATATGTAGGCAGTGGAGTTCCTTTGTGACACTGTGGTCCACATGAGGAGGACACTTCCAATTTGGCTTCTGCTCCAAAGTCTGGCTTGGCTAAATTGAGGGTAGACTGGGGCAGGACAACAGGGAGGTGGTAAGCAGGCCAAGTGGGTTTCCAGGAGGCTCTGTAGGGACTCACATGCCCCACAACACAGAGCAGGAGGAGGAGAAGCAAGAGGAGCCCTGGGATCCCTGCCATGCTGAGCACCATTCTGTATATACAAAGACAAGCAGGTTAGAAGGGAAAGGGCTGAGACTCATTTACTACAAACCAACAAAGCCTGGCAGCATGGCTGTCACTGCCTTTGTAAACCCAAATGAAACTGGGTCTTCATTCCCATGATAGCACATTATAGTCAGCATGCATATGGTCAGTAGTTCCCAGATGTATTGCTGATCTGTCCCAATTTCCATGTGACATTCAGCTGTCTTTGTGCCTGCTTCCAAACTTCGTCCTCTCCTACCTTCCAGGTTCCCCAACCTTTCTTTCCTCCTTACACCTCATTCTCACAACTATATGTACTTGGGAAATGATCAGAGCAACTTGCCTATTTATAAGGTAAATCTCAATTACATGCTTTATTAAATGACTAAGTCATCTAGAAGGGACAACTCCAGTATCACATTTATTAGGACTTCCGTCACTTCTATATAATGGGTGCATTTGGAAGATGATATAAAAATTCTATTTTCCTTTTTTCTTTGAATTCAAAACAACTTTTAGGATTACATATTTAGTTCCAGAGTATCCAGGCCTCTAGCAAACAAAATATTTCCATTTCCTCTGGATTATGTTGTACACTAATAGGATCTCTGTCAAAGATCTACAGCTCTAATATTGCATCAGGTGTAACTTTATGACTGTACTGCTGGTTATTTTTTCAGGTGTCTGTACCTATGTTTCAGCTATCTTAAATGCCTGCATGCCTAACATTCAACAGAAACTTATTAAGTGAATATTTGTATCAATGGAAGAATGAATGCACAGTGTGTTTCAGAAAATACTTTTTTGAATGATACAAGCTGACTTCTAATGACATAGATGTCCATAGATGCTGTGGCAGCCCAGCTAAAGGGCAAAAATATCAGATGTGGGGAGTAAGAAGAACAGGACATTTTAAGGGATGGGCTGCTTGAGATGAGTGCTGAAGTGGAAAAAAGTTAGGTGTCAAAAGATAAGAGAGACAAGAACACTTAGAGAAAGGCAACAACAGTCTGTATAAGAGCACAGAGCCATCCAACAGTCTGAGACATTTTAGGACTTAAGACTTCCAAAGGTGGAGTAGAAGAGATGGCGGAGACCGCAGGCAACAGCCAGGTTATGGACAATTTGTGTACTAACTGAAGGAGTTTGGATTTTACTCTGAAAAGTATGTTTAAATATCTGGATCAATCATCTCACAAGAAAACAAAAAAGAAGATTCAAAGTACTTTCATATACATCTGTTTAAGCATCAGTTGGTTGTGACTGATTCTGAATCATCTGGTTCAGCTGACTCAGAAGGGAGGGTGATTTATCCATAATCAAGCATCTCAGGACAGGACAAGAGAGATAAGTCTTAAGAGAGGCTCAAGGGATACAACAAGAGGAGGAGGGAAATCATTCTCATCCCCTTCCTCTTTGAGGGCACAGACTTTTTTGCTGGGTTTTTATGTGCCCATTTTTACACAAAACTGGAAAATGCCATTGATTTGATCTAGTCCAGGTAAACATGCTAGTCCACATCCCCAAAATCCACACACTGGATTTCTAAACTATGTGTTCATTCCAACCATGTCTGGAATCTTTTTGCTCTATTCTTTCTCTTGAATTCCACTTTTGTCAAGGAGAATAGGAATGAGAAAATAAAGGAATGAGGTCCAGAAAAACCAGTTCCTTGGGATTTCCTGATTCCTTCAAACTGCTTATTGTCATCTTTCTAAATAAGAAAGGACCCTTGGCTCTTCCATGAGAATCAAATGTATTTAATTAAGTCTTTGAAGCATGGGGTACGTGTACATGTGCACACATGCATGTTTACATGTGCTTGTTGAGAGTATTGCTGCGAGTAAAGGTTCTAAGTGGACTAGGAAGGGTCCGCTGATGCTAGCAGAGTCTTTCCAACCCCCTTTTCCCATGGAGACCTGGACAATAGGACAGGTGTCGCAATGACAACCCTTTGGGCTTGTGACACGGCTCCATGTCTGATTAGTACTCATCTCCTGGCTGAGGATTTAGCTCTAGGGTTTGAACGGCTTTTTTTTCTAGGTAGGTAGATAAAGATGACCAAATGCCCTTCTCACACAAGAATCCCTGCCAAGTATGCTGTGTGCGAAAAGGAATTGTGAATTTCCCACATGGCTGGATTTTGAACTCTAATACACCATCCTCTCCTCCCTTTAATTAATACTGAGAACATTAATTCTGCTAATACTGAGCAGCAGGATGTTTTGCACCAAGTTTTATTTCAGCATATCTTAAAAGAAACAGAATCTACAGGTCTAAGTTGTCGGTTGTTCTTGTTTTTAAAATACAATTCTTAAGGGAAAGAGGAGATAGTATTATGCCATGTATTATCATAAATGGCACATAATATTTTCTACACGCATGAAGAATGTGATAAATATGATATGCTCATCATCTAGATTTTAGAGCATGGATCTTTAACCATAAATCTAGAACTTGTATGTTCTGCATGTACAGAGGTCAAACTATTAACTATACCAAAATTTTCCCAGTGGTATCTGCCTTTAGCTTTATCAATATATCCAAAAATCAAAATAGGGGATTGGCAAATTTATAATTTAAAAGATGACAGATAACTATGTGCCAAGAACTTTGGGTATCACAAATCAAAGAAGACTATTAGAAAATGCTAAAGAGTTTGCTGTATGAGACCGTATGTATGACTAATTCAGAGTTCTTTTTTTTTTTAATCGGTACCAGCAATCGAACTCACAACCGCCTGCTTGCAAGGTAGGTGCTTATGCAGCTGAGCTAAATCCCCAGTCCCAATTCAGAGTTCTTACAAATTAAATTCTGGTCATTTATCCAACAGTGAAGGAGAAGTCATGCACGTTTGAGAAAAATACTAAACCAGTAAGATAGGGTGATGTTTTAACCTCTAGAATCAACTTTTCGGATACTTCAAAAGCATTGCTTTCTGTTACTTCAAAACACTGCTTATAAATTCCCTATATTATTATCAAACTATACTGACATGTGGTAAGACTGTATTCAAACAGGATAAAGTTTCTATGGACCTTTGACAGCTATAAAATGATATATCAAAAAACCATGATTCGGATTTAGAAGCTAATCTGACTTTTAGAAACTCATGTCATATTATCCCATAGTGGTTGGGTTTTAAACACTTGCTGAGAATGGAGTGATAAAGCTGTGCTCAAATCCCCAAGGAGGTTTATACTGACATCTGTTAAAGTTATAAGCTTCCCCAGTTGCTTACTCCTCTCTTACATGTTTATTTAGGGCAGTTTAGATACTGAACCAGATGATCTCTTTAACTGGTCACAACAGATCCAGGATTTTATAATTTTCCAAGATCACGAAGTTCAAGTCAAAGCCAATGTTGTTTATAAACAGTATCTGTCCTGTCATTTACTGCTCAGAAGGTTTTACTCTTGGAATTATGGAGGTTGGAAGAATAGGAGAAAAGGAAAATGAAAACATATGCTAATGTATTACCTAGTTTGGAGATAAGTTATATGCTCAATCTCCAACACCTCCAGCAGAGGGCAGCTCTGCAGAACTGAATGGAAGGACCTTTCCATGTGAAGGGCTTTAGGGACAGGTGGGGTGGGGGCAGCATGCCAAGACAGCCTTGCAGTCTACCAGAGTCTTTTCTGAAGCGCTCATACCAGTGATAATTGTGCTGTTTTAAAATTAGGTAGGTGGCATTAATTTATTAATTCATCTGAAAATAGAATAATTCCCCAGAGATAAATAATTATTTATAAACTCCAGGTAAGCCTTACTAGGTCCACATAAGTGTATGTAAGCATAGACACTATAGGATCCTGACAAAGATAGTAAAAACATTCTCAGCCCAACAACTAGAAAGATAACAAATGAGATTGCTATTAACAACATTAATTTTTCTCACTGTTACAAATGGATCACTTTATCCTTCCAGAGATATCTAAATTCACTGTAAACAAAGGAACAAAGGTTTCTAAAACTTATTACCCTCATTATATCTAAATCTGGATGAAGAAAATTTAGGTCTGTAACATCAAGTTTCTAGGAATAAGCATGTTATCTTGCGAAATTTTCAACTAAGTGTTTTCATGCTTCACCTCATTCAGTGGCAAAGCAGAACAGAAAATTAAGGTAAGCAAATGTGTTTTCACTATACTCAGTAGAAGTTTGCTTTTTTTGGTACTAGGGATCGATCTCACAACCTCGTGCTTGCCAGGCAGGCGCTTACACCACTGAGCTAAATCCCCAGACCCTCTATGCTTATACAGAAACTGTATTCCTATTCCAATTCTGGATATCTGAATCACAAGGAGGTTCCATGCTTCATCATGCAATATGAGCCACTGTCATCCTGTCCAATGTGTATTAGACTTTAGGCGTATGCTGCCACTTCATAAACCCACTAATAATCCTATGGTGGAGGGACTTTGCATATTAACAGATGTGCAAACAATAACAACACCTTTGGAAACAGAGCACTGCAACTACCATCTCTTCTTGTTCTGCTCTTTAGCCTTGAAAACTGCAACAATACAGGTCTCCTCAAGAGGGCCAGTGTTCGAGAAAATGATTTAATTCCTATAGCAATCTAGTGCTGAGAGGGAAAACCTAATCCTTCAATACCCACTCTCTGTTGTACAATGTATGAATACTTGTGATCGCTGTAAGTGATAATGACAGAAAAAACTGCAGGAAAGTGTGTGAAGATGCTAGTTTTGGATACCAAAGAAAGATGACAAAGGATCTTCCATGCAGTCTACAGCCAGGGAAACTCAATGGTGAAATCTTGCTAATTCCTAAAGCAAACATCTAAAAATGAACAAAGATCTCGAATACTCTGCAGCCAGGCTTGCTCTCATTTTCCTGAGAGCAAGAACTTGCTAAAGCAAAACTGACCTAAACACATAATGGCTTAAAAACAGTCTTCTACAGGAAGCTTCAGGGCACTTACAAGCCCAGCAACTATTAAACATAATCTTGTGCTCAAAAGTTTAACTTCTGTATCAGATTTTAGGCAAAATAAACTACCCCAGTAATCCCAAGGCCAACCTGGCAGGAGAACAAAACACAAAATGAATAAAAACTGTCAATGGTGAGACCATGAGAAACGAATTCCCCAGAGTCAGTGAGAGCTGTGCATGAATAATGCCTGGTGCACTGAATTGTGAAGGATCTATGAGAAAGATGTATGGGAGAACCTGATAGTACTAAACACTGAAGACAGGGGTAGTACCGTCCTCAAACACAGCAAAGGGTCCTTTGGCACTGATGCTACCAACAGAAAAACACACATTCACCATCTACCATCTATCGGAGGTCCTCAGTGTTATATTAGTTACTTTCCCAGTTGAGGTACAGAAAAGCCAAAAAGCTACCTCTTTCTTGACTTTATTTAGGTGGGAAGAGTACAAATAAATATTTCACATGCAGATGGTATGTACAGGATCACACACAGTTTCAGAAGTGTAGTAGATTTTGTGGCATTTACTAAGTTCCTTCTTCCATTCCACCTGCAATCCTAAGAGACTACTTGAAATACAGTTATAAAACCTGTTCAGGTAAAGACAATTCTAGCACAAGCCTACCTGTTCCTGAGGAGCACACAAGGACCCCTCAAATTAAGTGTTAGTAGCTGAGAGACGCAAATCCTATTCCAACCCTCACACTGAACGACCTCAGGTTTTCCCTTAGCCATGGGCTATTTCTGAATTCTCATGGGTGTCGCCCAATGGCTAATAAAACAAACAGGATTTTTTATCAGCTGCTTTCTCATGAGATGTTTAAAAACAAACCTGATTTTGTATTCTGGAGCGGAGTGCAGGTGTTGCCTGATGTAAAATAAAAAAATCTTCTCTTTTGAAAAGTTCTTAAAATTAAAAAAAAAACCTTTTTATTTAAAAGTTAACTTGAGATGGATGCAGGAAGGCTACAGAAGAAATATTTGCTTGCAGGAACTACTGATTGGTCAGAGATCAGTTTCTAGATATGGCACCCTCACGGAGCACTGTGTCACCAGTACAGCCCCTAGAGAAACGAGATCTATTCTCTAGCCCGTGTCTGCTGACCTTTTCTTGCTTGCTAAGGTGTGTTCACAATCACGTGTCTAGGTTAAAAATTAATGCTTAAAACGTGAAGGAAGCACATATTGTGTATGCAAAATCTATCAAAAACAAGACGCTGCCGTGGTGAGCAGGACAGCTGCAAGCCGCGGCGGCAGGACACCTTGACCTGAGCGCTTCACCTCTACTCTCACCCTGCCCCACCAACCTGCAGCTTGCCTCAAAGACAGCAATTTCAAAACCTTTTTTCTCCATCCACTTCACGGTCGACACTACGGGAATGCCAACATCCTCCAACTCGCATCCTAGCCCCAAGTCGGCCACAGCGGCCAGGGCGAGGTCTCCGGTGCCCCCTGCAGCCCCACTTCGCGCGCAGCCGGCCCTTTGTCCCGCTCCTCTGGGCACCTCGGAACCCCGCGCCACGCGCGCGCCCGGGCCCGGCCCTCACTCACCCGCGCGGAGCAGCCCGCCCCGGCCGTGGCTGGCTGCGCGGCTCAGACAGGTGTGGGCCCCGGGAGGGCGCACGCGGCTCCCATGCCTGCCCCGTCGAGAGACCGAGTGCGAGCTGGCGGGCTCCCCAGCTACGCCGGCTGCGGGCGGGTCCGCCCCCCGCGCCTCCGAGCCGCCGCCCCGCCTCCGGCCTCGGGGAAGCGCGCCGCCCCCGCCTCGCCGCCCCAGCGCCCCTCCGCCCCACCTCCCTTCCCCGCGCGCCCTGGCCCAAGCGGGGCCCCGCAGCCCCGGGGTCTGCCGCCGGCGCAGGTGGCGTGGCCAGAGCCTCTTGTCGCCAGCCTGCGCCGAGTCCCGCGCGTCTCCACCTTGTGGAGGGGCGCAAGTCTCCTCGGCGAGCCTAGGGCTTTAGCTTCCTGGAATCTGTTGCCACCAGCCCGAGAAGACAAGGTGTCCCCCAGCGGTGCTCCCCTCTGACTTAGAAGTAGGGAAGCGCCACGCGAGCCGCACTGGAAACTCCTGAGCCAATGCATTGAAGCAAAATTCGTGCGCTCTCCACCCAGGTACATATTGAGCGCTTTGTGTGGCGCCAGAGCTCCTTTCCGATTTACCTGGTGGCTCTGGTGTCTCCAGGGAGCAAAACCTGCACTCCAGTGGCCGAACCACCACTGCTTTGTCTACTGTAGCACTCAGTTCGGCGCGTGGGTGCGGAGCAGGGGTTGCGGGAGCTGGCTGGTTGAGCCCCCTAGTCTGGCTTCTTTATTGGGCACCAGATGGTGGAGCCACCTCCTCACTCCGTGGCCCTGCTCTCTGGAGTCACTCCAAGGAGCACACGGGTCGGGGTCTTCTCCTAGCAAGATTTACACTGTTGACCACATGGTGTAAAGACCTAAAGCTAGAGCTTGCTGTTCTTTCCCCAATGCATTGACGTTAATATGGACTACTATTAAGTGCCTCCCCCTCCTCAAGTCCTTGTGGTGAAGAGGATGCAGAGATTACCACTAATTTAAAATAAAAGACTGGTGGTTGGAAAGGTTTAATGACTTGATCTAAATCTTAAATAGCTGTTGAATGGTAAGAAAAGATTTCTTAAGGAGCCCACTTTTTTTTTCTTGTTAAAGCCTGCTCTCAGGAAGGGCCTAACATTCTATTCCACACAAAGTGTTAATGACATGCCTGATCCTTTTGTGTCTGCAATTGATTTTTTTTTTTTTTTTTTTTTTTTTTTTTTGTCTTTTTCCTTTTTACCGGTACCAGGGATCGAACTCACGGCTGCCTGCTTGCAAGGCAGGCGCTTATGCCGCTGAGCTAAATCCCCAGCCCCCTGCAATTGATTTTGAATAGGAAAACCCTGAATACATTATTGTGTGATGTTTCTCAAATATAAGATAATACTCTTCACTTTTTTAAGGGAAAAATTTTCTTAAACCTCCCTAGTCTTGACTTAAATTTTTTAAAAAACCAGTAAGCATAGTCATAAAATCAGATCAACATTTTGTTATAGCTTCTGAACAATTTGAGAATACAAATTTATAAGTTAAATATAAAAATTATCTTCCAGAACAATAAAATTTACATTAGCATTGCTTCCTCATCTACTACCAGTGCCACTGAGCACTGATTGCTTAGATGCACAGGGCACTTGTGAGATCTCTGTGGCTCTGTCAGTCTCTTGATGTGCAAGTCACCTTGTGTTAAGTCAGTGTTCTCACGTCTTTCCTGTCTTCCACCTACCATACATCTGTTCACTGTATGCCATTGGCTTTCTTACTTTTTTTTTTTTTTTTGTCTTTATGAGACAGGGTCTCCCTCAGCAGTTCAGGCTGGCCTTGAGCTCATTTAGCTCCAGTTGGCCTCAAACTTGCAAGAATCCTCCTTCTTCAGTTTCCCGAGTATTGGGTTTACAGGCATATGCCACCACGCCATGCTTGTCATTAGCTTTCATTTGACTTTCATCCATCTTTGAAAGAGTAGCCTTATGCTCTCCCTTTATTCACATAGGAGTAAAGTAGTAACTCTTGAGGCTAAGGAACAGCACACTCAGGCACTAAAATCCAGGTGTAGTACTTCATATGAGTGCTAGTAATTCAGTGTGCTTGTGTTCTTTTTTATCCTAAAAAATGAAAAAGATTAAATTATGGATCTTTGAAGGGTTAGTAGCTCCCACTGGAAAGATACCATTAAAAGTCAGGTGTCTTAATAGAGAATCTGGGGAGTTGGAAGGAAGATGAAAAGGAAAGTTTTCATATATGCTCAAGTTTTACCTGGTTCACTCCAATCAAGTATTTGATGAGCACTTATTACATACAAAATGTTGCGGTAAGCATACAATGACAGAGATGGTCACAGGTAGACCATACAGCAATGCAAGGGTATGCCAGGGGCTCCAACTATGTGAGTGAGTACTCCACAGTCTGCAACCTACTAACTGTGTGGTTTTTGCCTTTTCTGTACCTCAATAAAATCCTCCTCATAAAATCAGCCTACTTAAAGTCATAGTGTGGTTTTCAGGACTGAAGGAATGTGTTTTGGTTTAAATCTAAAACAGCCCCCAAAGCCTTGTGTTTTTGGAAGGTGATAGGGTTATGGGATATTATACCTGACTTGCCATTAGGAGGTAGGGCCTGTTTAGAAGAGGCAGACCAGCCTCCTTACCAACATCTGTGGGTGTGACCTGTGGGTTTATCCCCCTTCCCTGTTCTTGCCTTGACTCTGTGCTTCCTACTCACCATGAGGTGAGCAACTAGTTCTCCAGTGCCAAGCTGTCCTGCCTTGGAGCAGGCTGACTATGGAATGGAACAAGAGCCAAAATAAACCTCTCCTTTTAGTTGCAGGTGTCAGGTATTTTGTCTCAGTGATGAAAAAAGTGACTTAGAATGAATATGTATAGGGTGCTTAAAACCATTCCTTACCATTAGGGTAGTAAGACCCTAATATATATTAAATATTACATTGACCTAAGTGATTAACTCTACTTTGGAGCACGGTCCTCTAGCACGACTTTGACATTCATTATTATTATTGTTTTTTGCTTAGCACTTTGAGGTACAGTATTAGATACTTTTGAGGTACTGTATTAGAAAACATAATGATTATTTCCGTCATTCAGAAAGAGAAACCAAGGAACAGACAAGCCCAAGGCACATCTCTTCCTCTGCTGATTTCAGGGGCTACTCAGACAGCTAACACCCGCAGTTCTAACTACATATGACCCCTGGGGACTTGGCTTGAGAAAGTACTATCTACTTTTGCTCTTCACTGAACAGAACAGTGAAAGGAGAGAAGAGTGAATGCACATTACCTGCTCGTAGGTTGTCTTTGTGATTACCATATGAACAGCAACAATGGCAGATTTGTACAGTACTTTGATTTTTGAAAGAAGTGTCCTGTGTAAATAACAGATGTCCCCAAGCAGATCCTAGATGTGTGTTTTTTCTTTATGTACTTTACCTGTCTCCCCCAACCCTAGAAAGAGAATCAGAACCCTCACTGCTTTTTAAGAACTTGGTTCAACTTCATACTTGTAATTCTCAAATACTTCATATGTATGTACCAATTAAGTGATTAAAATCACATTCAGGTTAAGGTCTGTACATTAATTCACTGTGTAATCTGCATAATGTTTCAGGGGCTGTGAGACAAAGCAAGGTAATACCTGTGACCTCAAGGAATTTATGCTACAGACATAAACAAAACAAAACCCAAATAGGAGGAAGCTAGATTGAAATTCAGGCTAGATCAGGGTCCAGACACATGCTAGGACATGGAAGAATCATTGATTACTACTCTGGCAGACTGAAAGGATGAAGATCTGAATAAACTATACATTATCTCCCTGGCTGTTGGAAAACACAGTGTGACAAAGACAGGAAGAAAAATCTCCACTGCATAGATGTGAAAACCAAAATGTACATAAAGGAACTGTTGCAATAATTACAACAATGTTTGCACACAATTCCCAGAGTCAGTAGAATATATTTTATTGCATGTACTCATCAAGGTAAACAGAAAACGATGTTTTAGTCCATTTTTGCTGCTATAATAGCACACCATAGATAGGTAATTTTATAATGAACAAATTTTATTGGGGCCCCTCGGTCAGGGCCACTGCCAAGAGCTTCTCCTTTCCTCCCCACTCCGTGTGTCCACCGTACTGCAGGGATCTGAAAAGAGCAGTTTCCCTGGCAGGGCTCTTTGGCCCTCAAGGATGGTGTTGGGGGCTGGGTTTTTTTAGCTCACAATTCTGTATGAGATCCAGGGGCCATGTCTGGTGAGGACATTCTGGCTGCTGTAACAAGATGGAATGTGTCACATAGCTAGAGAGAGCCAGAGGGGGCCAAACTGGCTTTGTAACAAACTTTTCTCACAGTAACAGTCCCATTCTCTGGATAACAACATTGATTTATTCATGAAGATTGTGGCTTTTAAAGATCCCACTTCTCCACACTGTTGCTTTGGGAATTAAGTTTGCAACTCATGAACTTGGGGAAACATATTCAAGTCATAGCAAAGGACTATAATTTTCATCATGTTTTTAGATGAAGAGATTGAGGCTCAAAGTTAAGTGACTTTATGTGCCTCACTGTTCTCTTCTATATGATAAGACTAATTTAGAACTATTGTGTATTTACAACTACAATTCTTATAACTTTGAGATAAACAAGCGAGATCATCAATAAAAAGAATGTAGCACAATGTTCAGCACAAGTAAATTCTAAATTGGCATTATCTATTGTGATGCTGTTGCATACACTACTAGTAGCAGTAGCATGACTAAATGCTTATTAAATATTTAACATTTTTTGAATGAATGAATCAAACCACTGTATTATTGTACTAAAAAGTTTAATCCAAAGTTTCCAAGAAAAGACTATCTCAAATCTCTTGTTCAGCCTTCAAATGTTTTCACTGGTCTTGTGTACAGACAAAAATGAGTTTCTTAGTATTGAATGGATGCCAGGATTGAATGGATGACAAGGTTATATATTTTGTCTCCTCCATTCTCAATTGACATTATCAAATTTTTTATTCAACAAATTACTGTTGAATTACTATTACTGCTAAGTCTATACAGTTGTGTCTTAAGAGCAGAAATAGGTGTTTTCACCCTTACAGTGCTGGGTGTAGTGGCACATACCTGTAATTCCAGCACTCAGGAAGCTG